TTTTCCATTTTCTTTTTGTTCTTTCATCTGTTTTTCCTTTTTTTCTAAAGTCTAACTTGTTATGACTAACATCATAGTAATCTGATGTAATAATCATAGGATAGGTATGATTTTCAAATATAAAGAAAAGAAAACTATCAAAAAATGAACCAAGAATTTCAGTATCATTACATATTTGAATAATATTTAAATGTTCTTCTTTAAAAGGAGTGTTACATACAATATAAGTTATAAACAATTTCTTGACATACTCAATATCAGAAAAAGAAAACCCTTTAGGTACATTATCATTTAAGTTTCCAAATACATTAATCAGAACTCGTAAATGAAGAATATAATTAAATGATTTACTGACAATATCAGAATCGATATCATAAGTGTCCAATATCCAAACCAAAAATAATCTTTCAAATGGCATAATCTTTTGAAAGTCAAATGAAAAATTATCATCATATTTTTGATTTAAAATATCTTTTAAGTTATTGAAAGATGAATCTATTTCTTGTTCAAAAGTCTTTAGAGACAATTTACTTATATGCTGCCATTGACCTTTGGTAAAGAAGTTTCGAATACGTGTACAATTATGTTTTGAAAATATACTTAAACTGAATACAGCCAATAAAATAACATCTTTGTGTTCATTCATTACTTTTGAAGATACTTCAAGAATATCATTTCCAACATTCGAAATTTGGTTTTCGATATTATGAAATATATCAACAAGTAGAGATGGAGTAATCTTATATCCTAGGTTGTATAATGTATTAATTCTTTCATAAATTGTATCATAATCGCTTAACGTGTCATTATTTGGAGGATAACATAAAAGAAATTGACCTTGGACAACAAGATCATTTGTATCTTGAACTATATTACAATATCCTATTTCTTGCCAAAGCTTGATAAGTTTATGCTCCATCAAGATCGCTCTAGCAATAACATTCAATTGACGATTATTTTCATAACCATCAAGAGGTGGATATTCTTCTGGAATTTCAGTCAGTTTATATGGTCGTGGTGGAAATGGTACAAACTTATATCTTCTAATAAGATTTTCTATTATTTCGTAATTATTTTTTAAAACTGTGCTAGCGTTATTTATAGTATGTGGTCCACCTGAAAGAAAATGAAAAACCTCCATGTCATTACCTTTCGAACAAACATCATCTATATCATAGAATTCAATTGCTTTTTCTAATACTTGAAAGACTTCTTTATAATTATAAAAAGAGATCCATTTAATTTTTTTTTTTAACGAGACAATATCTGAAATCATAATTCCACCAACAGATAACTCATGTCGTGCTTTTAATAAGATCAAATTAGAATCAATGTCACCAAAGCATAACATCATTCGCTGAACAAAATATCGTGAAGGTATGATATCCATTTTAAATAAAGCTTCAACAAGTCGGGTATTTAAAAATCGATATTTTTTCTTTGATGGTGAATCCTTCTTAAAAGCATAAAACAGTGCATGGCATTTACCATAACGATGAACCAACCATCGTGCACGTAAAGTCATGTCACAACTTATTTCATGCCATTCTCTTGACACTACTGCTAAAGAAGAAGGATCATTTAATAAGATGAAAATTTTATGTTTAACTTCAATTGGGAGCAGCATTATGATTGATTTGAGAACAGGAAAATAAAACAATCGATTTATTTATAATTATCAGTTTATAATACATCACATGATTAGTATAACCAAAAAAAACTATTGTTAACTATTAAATTTAACTCTTTTACGATCATTCTTCACATAATCGTATTCATATTCTGGAGTTTTAGTTTCAGAATCTAACTTTCTTTCATCTCCTTGTTCGAAAGCACATATTCTTTCTTTTAAGAAAAATATTTCTTGTTTTAATTTTATATTTTCATCATTTATATCTTCGATACAAGAATTATTTTGTTCTTTTTGTTTATATGTGTTTTTTCCTTTATTACCTTTTTTATTTTTAAAATTCATGTTTTCAATTTTCTCTTGCATTTCATTAATTCTCTTCCTCTTCTTGGTTAATTCGGTATTTAAATAAGATAAATCATTTTTCAATCTTTCAATTTCTTTACCTTTATGTTCATTTTCTTTTTTTAATTCAAGAATATTTTCATTATTCTTGTCAATAACATTATATGATTCTTCAAGATTTCGTTTAAGTTTTTCAACTTCACATTTAATTTCAGTATAATCATTTTTCATTTTTTCATTTTCATTGAATGCTTCATTCTTCAAAACTTCAGTTTCATTGTTTTCTATCAATTCTTTTTCTTCATTTAAAAGAACGTTTTTAGAAATTACTCCTGGAGTAATGAAGCATTCATCTAATTGTGAGGTGTTTTCAACCTCTAATGGGTAAAATTCATGTGGCGTAACAAAATAAGAAAACCAGTCAAACTCTTCATCTATAATACTAGCATCTTCGTAACTAGTTATAGGTTGGAAATTATTAAATTCTTCAAGTGAAAAATTAACTTCAGTTTCAAAAGCTTCAAAATTCATTTTTTTTTTTTTTTTTTTCTTCGTTTCTTCAAGTAAAAGTTATTGAACTCATTCAGAAATTCGAACCTTATTTTAATAACTTTTTGACCATTATGTTTGTTACAAAAACGGATTTTGGATATCTATTTTCAAATTGAACAGTTTCACGATTTACTAAACAAAGTTTAATTACAAATAACGATTAGACGATAAAGACTATCTCACCATAAATTTCTTATCAAAATTTTCATCCATTCTATTTTTGGTAATTCCTATAGCTACAAAGAAACAACATTCGTTTATCTTTTCTTTGTATTTGTGTTCTTAAATTCGAAATATGAATCCATTGTATAACATTAATGTAAATAAATTTCAGTGACGATCATTACTTATATTTTGTGTAATGTGATAAACGATGTGACTATCAAGTGCATTAGTACACCTTATTCTATAGATGAACC